GGGTTAAGAAAGATGGCTTTCACCATGTATATCAAAATCTCAACTGGAACTAGATCTGATATGGAATAGAATGAGTATAAAGCTTAACCCAATATTTATTGAATATAGGATTGTGATTGATACTCCCCAAAGAAATTATTGTCGTTTGAACCTCATCTCGCACGAAGTAAATGATGTGAAGAATAATCGTTTTAACAGGTAGATAACTTGATTTACCTTCCTCGGTCGTGGAGTTAGTGCTGCCACACCAAATAGCCTCTCGTATACGAGGAGGAGCGAATGCTGGCCCTTGGAGAAATGAAGAGTTATGTCCCAACGGAACTCCAAGAAGAGACGTTGAAGCCACAGCACCTCCGAGAGCACGAATAAGCTCTCCCTATAAGAATAACTTAAAAAGATCAGGAAGGGAATAAGGTCACTCATTCACGTCAATGGTCTTAAAGAAAAATAACTCATTCGTCAAAGCAGAACCAACTTGTAAGTCAGTGCGAATGGGAGAGCTTGTAAGACAATGCAACAGAAGTAGCTGCTAGCTTCTTTCTCTCCTTCTCCCCTGGTACCCCCATGTTCTATACTATTAACCATGATAAAGAAATTGACCATTATCATATTAGGATACACCTACCACTTTCCCATTACATTTGTATGACTAGATTAAGTGATGATGTAGGGATACAGATCAAGCAGAACGTTAACACTGTTTTTAAAATGGCAAACAATTGCCTGTAATAAAGCAAAAAATACAAAACTTAGAAACATCTCTGCTGCTGGCGAAATGTTTAGTCATGCATTTCAATTCCAGTCATACAAAACTTTTTTCTAATGATGATTATCATATGTAAAACTACTTTACATGAGAACTCAATACTGAATCTACAATCACCCACACCATTAAGAACCACCAAGATAAACCAAAGAAAGCTTTTGCATGGGTGCTGTTAGGCCATTAGTTCAAAACCCTTTTACAAAAGGTTCTACTCATAATTAGTACTTGCACAATTAGCTTGCTGTAGCCAAATACAAAAATAAGCAATACTAATGCATATCATTTCATCATATTTGCCCCACTATAAATTACATTCTTCCACGTCTTACATTACCTTAAGCTTTGCTCTTTCACGAATAAGTGTAAGAGATGCTTCTATAACACGATTCTGTCCTTTTTCTACTAATTCTTTTGGAACATTCGCCGCGTTCAATTTCTGCATATAGTGGATTCCCATCCTTCCTGCACTCTTCATATTTGCTAATTCTGGTTATCCTGCAAAGTCTGGTCAACATAAAAAAAACAAAAGGACATACAACTTAATACAAAAATCTAGAGCTGCTAAACAGACAAGAACAAGGCAACATAGAGAGGAACTAACAAGGTATGAAGTGACGCAACAAAATTCACCAGATATATTATATGACCTATCTTCAACGGTTGGTCATGTTTATGAACAAACATCAACCACCAAATTGCTATGTTTCTCCTATTTAAATCCCCAAAAGAAGAGAGGGCACTTAAAAAGACCCTCCACAAGTCTGTTAAGATTTCAAGCCAACCATGGTCTATCTACAGGAATAAGTCTGCTTTTTCAAGAAGAGCTTTTCAATTTTGCAATTGTTTCTGGTAAAAGAGTCTGTCGTCAACCAAATTGTAAACATACAGAAGCAGTAGTATAGTTAAGCCATGTCCTCACCAACAACAACTACATCTCACCCCTCAGTCTCAAAAAAGCAGGGTTCGGCTACATGAATCCTTACTGACTATATGTCTCCAGCTACGCTCAACTCATGTCATCATGATATTGAATAAAAATAAAAGCATTTAATATACATAAATAATATTAAAAGTTCTCTAAATTTTTAAGGGCATAATAATATATAAATCTATGATGAGGTCAAAATACTCCTAGAAAAGAAATAGGTTCAAAATCAACTTACTAACAAGACTAAAACCTATTTCCAACTATTCCCCACTAGTAGATATATATTCTTTCATCAGATAGAGAAAAAATAAAAGGGAAGAAAAAACAATTAAGGAAGATTTTTTGCAGTAAACTTATAATAGCATGTTTGGCCAAATTTCTAAAATCTGATTATTTGAAAAGCGCTTTAGTGCTTTTCAAGTGAGAAGTAGTTTGTGTTTGGCTAAATAATTTGAAAATCACTTTTGAGCAACAATTAGTGTTTGGCCAAGCTTTTAAAAAGTGCTTCTAAGTGTATTTTTCTCAAAAGTGTTTTTCAAAAAAGTATTTTTGAAAAGAAGCTAATTTTTCTGCTTCTCCGAAAATGCTTCTCCTTCTTCTCAAAGCTTGGCCAAATACTTTAATTTTGACCAAAAAAAAACACTTTTTGACTAAAAAAAAGCACTTTTGGTCCAAAAACAAAATCTTGGCAAAACAGGCTATAAGTATGTCTGAGCAAAAAAAAATCAAACTTTTTTCTTGACCAGAGATCCTCCAAAATAGGAATTTTTTTACTCAAGCTAAATAGCCAAACCCATGCTCATATTCCCGTACAATTTCCAGTTCTTACCTATTGTTTTGTTAATCAACCAAAAATAAAGCAATTTTCTTTTACTCCCATTATTTTTTCCAAGGTTATCTTTCTGGGAAGAGCTAAACTTTCTCTGTAAACGGAAATAGTACAACCCAACAACAAACGTACATACTTATAGATGAACAATGTTTAAAGAAGCACCAAATTCAAGAACAAAAGCTTACTTCTTGAATGGTTGATATAGTAACAAAACGGCAAAGGTATCAAATTTGCAGATAACATGATTAAATAAACACATAATTCAAGACAGAAAAAGCTTAATTGTTGAAGGGTAAAAGATCAACATAGTAGTAAGAAGGAAAAGAATAAGGTTCTAAATAGGGTATGAAAAGGAACAAAGCAAGAAAGTTATCATACCTGCAAGAAACAGAGGCAAACACTGGATCAAAGAACCGAGAGCTGAGGTGAGTTGAATAGACCTAAGGAAGAAAGGGTTGTGGGAGCACCGAAGAGCGAAAGAGGAAGAGGAACATGCAGTCCTTTTTGTAGTCAGTGATATTTGCTTATTGCAGCAAATGGAGTGTGAAAAGTGGAGACTGCCAGTAATGTTAAAAATATTACTCCTGTAGTTATCCAACTAGATTAGCGCACATTGCACGTAATCACCAACTGCTAAACCCAATCCATCCCCCTCTCCTGAACCGGACCAACCTAATTAAATATTCTTGATAATTCCTCGTGCTTGCTTTTATATGTCGTGGAACGATCGGGTCTAATTTGTGACTAATTGTATATATATATATTAAGTTGACGGGTCGGATTGTGATTAATTATTTACTCTAAATTAATCCGCCTATGTTGATCCAATCATATTATGAGCTAACCATTAATCTTCCGTTATCGTTAATACTCGTTTAAGGGTGGTAGTCAGTAGATAGTGAATACTGAATTGGAAATGAATTCAGTTACCCAAAATTGGCAACTCTGACGACATCGGTTACTTTTTTGCAAAGAACGCCGAATTGTTAGCGGCCCGTTTCCCCTTGCATATCACACTCTTCTATGTGTCAGTCACTACCGCGGACGCCGCAATTGGGCGCCTGACAGCCACCTCATTGGCCAACCATACTCCACCTCAAATTTCTCTAACCGGGGCGGATTTACCTTAGGCGCGGTATCACGTAATACTACTTCGCCGGAAAATTTCACCAAATACACATATAAATAATATATAAAAAATAATAAATATCGTGTAATAATATATAATGATACCACTTGATTAATCTAGATTGTTTGGTCGCTGATTAAGTCGTTACAATTCTCGAGTTTCATTCTAGGTTCGAGCCCAAAACAAATGCATTATTGGCCTTTTAAATTTTACGTTCCCTTAGCATCTTTAAAAATGATTGATATGATTTAAATTATTTTTTTTGTAACGCCATTTTAAATTTATTTGTTTACTCTTTTAAATGTGATATCGCTTATAAAAAATGCATTATGGTGTACTTATGCAAGTTCTAGCTCCTAGTATACGACATTCGCTATCCTTTGAAAAAGTAAAGTTAAAATGATTATGAACTTAGGTTTCGCAACTTGTTTGGAACGGGAAATTAAACTTGTTTGATTTTAAAAATTAAACATTATTCGTAGTGTTTTGATTTCCAGACATAGGAAAGAATTCAGACTAAAAACAATGTTTTCATCAACATAATTATTTTTATCTTTGGCAGAGACGCTAAATATATTTGTACATTTACACCTTCATATATGTTAGTATACAGGATCACATAACCCAACCCAAAATTAAAGACCAATGCTGAAAAATGTCGATACACCAAGTCAGCATAAGAACTTCAAGAATTAAGAGCTAAAAACTGTCCATTTTTTTTTCAAGAGAAAAGGGAGGGAGCCGCTGCTGGGATTGTTGTTGCATGTCACCCATTGGGCCTAACCTCAGATCAATTGCAGGTACTCACAGCTGGATTGTTTACATGACCCGAGCCCAATGAAAGTAACCCGTTGACGCTCGGAGCAAGTCGATCTAATATGGGTCCATCAAACATGGAACATTCCGAAAACTTCAGGTACCAAACCAAACTTCTTCTCCAGAACATTACCCCCCCTTCCCAAAATATGGTTAATGACAGTTATAGAAATAGAAACAAAAATAAAACAGCAGAAAAATGCTTCTGCTTCATCACAAAATTCCTCTTCCCTTCCACCGTCAATCTCTCCTCTTCAACCCCAAAATCATCCCCAGAAAACTAATAATCCCAATTCACTCCATGTCCACTTCATCTTCACAAACAACTCATCAACAGTTGGACCAACAGCAAGAAGATGAAGAAAAACAAGCTTTATTATTAGCGCAAGTCTTGAAATACCACAAAGAAACGAAACACTCTTTCACAAACTACGCTCGTGGCCCTCGTGGTCTTGATTGGGCCAATCAGCCCAACCCTTTTCGCCGTTACGTTTCTTCTCCACTCATCCCTCTCTTACACTCTCCATTTCCGGATGAATCATCTCCTCTTTACTCCTCACTTTTCAAGACTCTCCCTTTTCCAAAACCCATTTCCCATTCCACAATTTCTCAGTTTTTTTATTATTCTTTAGCCTTATCTGCTTGGAAATCTACTGGGTTTTCAACTTGGTCCCTTCGGGTAAACCCTAGTAGTGGAAACCTTCATCCAACTGAAGCTTATATTATTTGTCCACCTGTTGAATCAGTGTCAGATAAAGGTTTTGTGGCCCATTATGCTCCAAAAGAGCATTCTTTGGAAATTAGAGCTCAATTTCAATCTGGGTTCTTCACAAGATTCTTCCCTGAAAATTCTTTCCTTATTGGATTATCATCTATTTTTTGGAGAGAAGCTTGGAAGTATGGTGAAAGGGCATTTAGGTATTGTAATCATGATGTAGGTCATGCTATTGCTGCTGTTTCAATGGCAGCAGCAGGGCTTGGATGGGATGCGAAGGTTCTAGATGGATTGGGTTATGAGGAGTTGGAGAAGTTAATGGGCCTTGAAATTTTTCCCAAGTTTAATATCCCGTCTCGGCCAGTGAAGGGGACAATGCCTGAGATCGAATTTGAACATCCGGATTGTGTTCTTTTGGTTATTCCTAGTGGTGTGAATGAATTTGAAGTGGATTATAAGGAGTTGAGTAATGGTATTTCGGAGCTTTCGGGTTTGGATTGGAATGGCAAGCCTAATGTGCTTAGTAAAGAGCATATTTGTTGGGATATCATATATAGAACAGCTGAAGCAGCGAAAAAGCCATTAACAATGTTTAATGGATCTGTAGTTGATCCATTTCAGAGAAGTGGAACAATCAGTGAAAGCTCTTATAAGGATTTAAGTTTAAGGGAATTGGTTAGAAAGCGTAGGAGCGCGGTTGATATGGATGGTTTTACCGAAATGGCAAACGACACATTTTATCAGATATTGTTGCATTGTATGCCTTCTGGTTCTTGTGACGGGGAGAAGCATGCTAGGCAATTGGCATTGCCATTTAGATCACTTGCTTGGGATAGTGAAGTCCATGCTGCTCTGTTTGTTCATAGGGTTGTTGGCTTGCCTAGTGGATTATATTTTTTGGTAAGGAATGAGAACCATTTGGATGATCTTAAGAAAGCTACTAGAGCTGAGTTCAAATGGGTGAAACCAGATGGTTGTCCTGATGATCTTCCTCTGTATGAGCTGGCAAGAGGCGACTGCAAGGAGCTTTCAAAACGATTGTCATGCCATCAGGTATATACTTCTGCTCTTTGATTTGATCATATTAGTGGGGCTGCTTTTGGATAAGTCATATTAGTTGGGATCAATTTGTCTTTAAAAGACAAATATAAGTGCTGGAATGAAACTGGTGCAAATGGATCAGAACAGATGTTGAGGATTCATAGAGCCGACCAATTTAGTTTTGTGTTGAAGATTAATTGTTGTTGTTACTTTGATATGATCATGCTTGCGCATAACTTATACTATGCCTATCAGAATGTTACTATTTCTGTGATCAGATACCTCCTGTACCAGAAGATATACTAACATAAATCTTTTTACTTCATATCCAGATTTTTCGTCCTCCATTTCTCTATTATCTTGTTGTTAATGAGTCTTTTCACATTTCAATTAGCAAACCAATTATGGTTCCTACAGTTTTTTGATGTTGTGGCGGAATTTTCAAAGGTTGTCAGTGTACAAACTCACAAAACATATGATTAGTTCTTACCATTGTAAAAGCATCTTGGTTGAGTAACATACAATCTTATTTCTTTTTTTTCCCCATTCATACTAAGTGAATCAACTCTATATATCTGATTATAAAATTTCGAATGAAGTGTTTCATTCTCCAACTGAAATTAAAGCTAAAGACAAGGGTGAAATAATCTTTTTGTTTTACTTAATATATCTTGATGTCAAATGTAGTTGATCTTTTACTAGTTTTTCTCTCTTTTTAATTGTCATACTATGTAGAATCATGATGCTAGGTGGACTTACAGTCAGATCAAGCCATTTGTTGCTTGTAGTGCTTCAAATGACCTCTTTGGGAAATTCTTTATGCAGGACATTGCTAGTGATGGCTGCTTCAGCTTGGGTATGATTGCTCATTTTGACCCCACTTTGCGCAACAAGGGTTCTTGGATGTACCCGCGGTTATTTTGGGAGACAGGAGTTCTGGGCCAAGTTTTGTATCTTGAAGCGCATGCAGTTGGCATCTCTGCAACTGGAATTGGCTGTTTCTTTGACGATCCCGGTATATCCTCTCTACCCACTCTCTTTATCTTTACATTGTAAATGTTTATTACTCACACTTGCCATGAGTCTCTTTCCTTGTTGAACCTCATTTAGGGAATAAAAATGTCCAAGCTGGACTCAATATTATCATTTTTAGAATTGTATTTTCCACTTAAGATATGTAAGATATTTTACTTACCAGTTCCTAGTCTTAAAAGACCAAAAGAGAACCTTGCATCCAAGGGTGTAGCCTAGAGGTCAATGAAGTGGCAGGAGAACCATGGGGTCTCAAGGTTCAAATCCCAGCGGGGTAAAAAAAAAACACTAGGTGATTTTTTCATCTGCCTAACCCTGGGTGGGCATAGTTACCCGGTACCTATCCTAGTAGGAGGTAGTTGGTATCAGGTGGATTGGTTGATGGGTGCGCAAGTTTTCCCCGACATCAGCATCATGAAAAAGAATGAACTGAAAGACAACCTCGAAAAATGTAAAAGAGAAAGTGGAGGGAAAAAGGCAAGAGGACAATGAGAAGTCTAATAGTAATATGAACTTGGTTATTGATTTAATGAAAGTAATATGAACTTGCGGAGTTAGCTTATTGTGATTCTTGATATTGTGAAAGTTGATGCATATTATTATCACCTTTTGTTTAAAGCACCTTATTTTTCCTTTGAAATCTGTCACATAGAAAACCTAATGTATGTGCTACCTCCAGAGAATAAAAAATCTAAGTAATCGTATTAGCAAAATGTGAACCTGAACATATGCATATATTTTCCTCTGGATCGTTGGTATTTGACATTTGTGAATGATCTAGTATGCCCCTTTTTGTCTTCCCCTTTCTTTTCCCAGATGATTAGTAAGTGGTGTCGTGTTATAGCTTATAACTGTATTTGACTAGAGATTAATTGGATGTTGTATTGCCACTAACCTATCACCCTTCCTTTTGCATGATCATTGGCAGTGCATGAAATTCTTGGGCTCAAAGGATCAGAGTTTCAGAGTCTCTATCATTTCACAGTTGGAGGTCCAGTTGTTGACAAGCGGATAATGAGTCTGCCAGCATACCCCGGCCCAAGCGTTGATGCCTGATCAGAATAATACCAAAGGTTGTTTGATTCATTATGTCCAATTTCACAAACATAACAAGCTATTACGCTGAATTTCACATGAATTGTGTAGCAAGAAGGTTTACTGCTCATATTTCTTCAGACAAAATATGGAGAAAATAAAAATTCCTGAAACCTAAAGGTGAAGAAAAATGAATGTCTTGATATACTAAACTATATAGTTAGGAGCCATAGTTGAACCTCTGTACACAAATTCCATCATTGTACAGAACCAACATTTTCCTCAATGGTGAGAACTTGCATTAAAGTTTTTCTCACTTATCTTCTATTCTCTTTCACGCATTTCAGCATCTCATTGTCAAGTCTCTGTGAATTGTGGACTATGCACGTATTGTTAAGTTTCTGTTTTAGACCTCTGTATTCTTGTCTTTCATTGAGAGCATCAATGAGTGCAGGAAGCAGGGGCGGTGGGAGAGTGTTACCTACGGGTTTGGACGAATCCATTAGCTTTTTGCTTATACATTGTATTTGTATTAGAAAATCTATTAAATATGTATAAATATTTAATTGCGAACCCAGTAACTAACAAGCTATGTGTTCGATTACAAATTCAGAATCCACAAACTTTAAATTCGGTCTCCACTAGTGGCTAGAAATTGTTTGAAAAACAAAAACGACTATTTATGCTTGTCAACCTAATTAAAAGATAAAAGTCAAAGGCAGGGTTTTGTTTCAAAGCTACGTATTACTTTCTGTTTCCATTAGTTTTATTGTGAAGTTAATCTTATAATGTCAGCCATTCACTGGTATAATAATTACTATAGTTATAGCCTATAATTATGTAGTAGTAGGATATATCATTCGTGTGATAAGACGTCAAGTTAAAGGAAATGGAGATTTGGATTTGATTTGGTTTTAAAGTCAACTTGGTAATAATAAAAAGAGCACTTCCTAAGAATTGTAAATGAAAATTTTTTCTAAGTGAAAATTGAATCTTGCTCCATTGGTTCCAATTTATGTGATACAGTTTCATTCGGCACGGAATTTAAGAAAGAAAAAACTTTGAAACTTATGGTTTTAAATATGCTATATCATTTGTGTGGCTATAAAACTTATGAAATTTATGGTCTAGCACATGTCATATCATTTGTGTGGCTATAAAAGCTTCTCATTACGGGGAAAATAAAAAGTTGAAGTTAGATTATTTTCAAATATGAAAACTTGTCATTCTTTTTTAAACACTAATAAAAAAATAGTGTCACATAAACTGAAACAAAGTGAGAATAATTGATCACAAAGAGGTGTTCATAATGAAAGATCCATATACCAACTCCTCTGAAAATTCATGCATAATAACCATCGAACTAATTCTATGTAATAGCAGAAACAAGCCATCGGCAGTTACTTGGCTCCTACCTGTGGAGGCTCCAGTCAATACAGAAACTGATTCTATCAAGGAAAACCAAATTACTAGAGGACAAGCGTAGTGGCTCGAGATATGATTAAAATCTCTTTTGGCTACAAATCTAAAACATAAACTGTACTTTAATTATATGGCTTATTAGTTGCTTGGCTTCTCCACATATGAACTGTTTTCATCAAATCAAGCTCTTTTTAACACCTCACCCCC